AAAAAAAAAAAAAAAAAGATTGCTATAAGAGCAGATGTCAGACTCACAGAAGTGAAATTCTTCCTCCTGGGACTTGTTTGCTGGGCATTAAGGACTCGCCCACCAAAAACTCCTTATCAGGATCCAGAATGGACTCTTAATCAGCAGCTCACAGGGCCGGGTCTACACACTCCGGGGAGGTGTGTTATCATCCAAAAACAGCTGACCACACACAGGTCTCCTAGGCTAGCACTGTTTACCAAGCGGGGAAGCTGGAAGCAGAAAGGACCAAGCAATGCCTAGTCCCTGAAAATGGGAAAGCCACCAACTGCTAGTCTTCAAGCAAAAGAACTTTGTTATTTTTAGCACTTTCACAGTAAACTGTTAGAATATGCATGAAAGGGGTAAACTAAGGAGCTGCTTCCTAGGAAAGAGGGGATGCTTATAAATGGCCCAGCCATACAATTAGAATATAGCATAACTCCAACCTGTCCGTACATCTAAAAGAGTAGGTCCTTTTAAAAAGGTGCCTGGGACATTGCTACAAATGAAAATGGGACTATTCCTTTAAATAACAACCCCTTGATACAAGTGGGTCTCAATAACCAAATTCTATTTATTTATTAATTATTATTATTATTATTGCAGTTTTTTGGCCAGGGCTGGGTTTAAACCCGCCACCTCCAGTATATAGGGCTGGCGCCCTACTCCTTTGAGCCACAGGCACTGCCCTCCAAATTCTATTTCTGATACAGATAACTTGGCCTCCTCTATCCCCATCCCTAGCTTTCCTACCCTTCTCAGGCAATACAAGCATGCCACATACCACCTCCCTGGATTACCTCTAGAACAAACTGCACTTTTGTTGATAAAGGTCATGGAGATAGGAAATGAAGTGTGTGTGCACACATGAATGTGTGCCACCATGTATGAGTTAACATGCTTAAAATTTAGTTTAAAGAAAAAAAAATTAGTCTAGCTCAAAAATGTAGTTGTGATCTCAGTAGGAACAGCTGAGCCTACATAAAGACTTCATGGAAAGAGCCCAAAAGTCATGGATAATACAGACTGTTCTCATTTCACAAATAGCTAAAAGATTATAAATTAGAATTAAACCTCCAGCTCTAACATCAGTGTTTGCTGTCAGAAGTATCTGCTCTTTAGCTGACTTGTGGCAATGGTATTCAGCTCTAATGCATAGATCCTGAGGCCCAGTGTCTTTTGTCCAGTAAGACAAGTAGCAAAGGCAGCCCCAGAGATGACAAGAGAGCCCTTAGTAGGAATTGCAATCAATCCTGCCCCAGCCTAGAAAGGGGTTCATTATCCCTTGCTTACCACCCCTCATCTGGGAGCGGCTGTCTTACTTATTTTTAATATGTTCAGTACCTAGCTCTTATTAGTCACAATAAATAAATGAATGAATGAGTCAAAGCTAAGGACCACCAAGAACAGGATACATAAGATGGAGGCCTGGCTAGACTAAGTAATGTTCAGACTAAAAGAACCCTGTTATTTCTAGCACTTTCATAGGAAACTGTTAGAATATGCATTAAAGCAGGAAGCTGAGGAGCTGTTTCCTTGGTAAAAGTGGATGCTTGGAAATGGCTCAACCACACAACTAGATTTTTCTTTTGTACCACCCACATGCTACAGGTTGTTTAAATACAACTGTAGAGAAATACTATGAAATGCAAAGAAAGAACGTGGATCTGAGAGGGAAATGTGAATTAGCAATGTGGAAATTTTATCTTCTCTACACCACACAGAGTTCATCTGCTACATTTTTATTAAAATAACAAAAAAAAAAAGGTATACATTTGTCTATAAGCTGTACATTCTTCCATATAAAAACACTATTATACAATTAGTAACCTTTGCCTTTTCTGTCAGAATAGCTTACAAACGTACTATTGTTTATTTTTACTTAATAGGAGAGACAGGCCTGCTCAACAGTCCAGCTCTGGGGGTCGGGAGTTGTTTTTAAAGTGAACATCAAAAAGAGAAGAGAGAAAAGATTAAGCATGAGACCATGACGCTGCTTCTAAAAATGCAGGGACCTGTTTGCAGACCAGATGCAAGAACATAACCTGCAGTGATTCACAGCTTTGTTTCAACTCACAGACCAGAACGTTAGCTCTTGGGTCTGTGGGCCCAACGTTAATTATAAAGCAATGAAAGCTGGGAACAGGGTCTGGGAAGGCAGCATGAAATCTGGAAAGTTGAAAAGGAGGCAGAATTGGGGGGAATAGGTAGGGAGAGTGTTTGGTAAATAGCACCTTTGAATCAAAATTGAATTATAGGAAGGGGGACTTGGGTGCAGAGGAAGTGGGTGAAGGGAAAGACTCCTCATTAAGGGGCAACAGCAGGAGGGAAGCCAGGTTGACCAGATGCGCTAGCTCTGTCCTTTAGGTGATTCAGTTTGGGAAACTTGAGGCCTTCTGAGGACCACTACCAATGTCACTGAAGAACTGAAGGAAGCATTTTTCTTCCCAGTGTAGGTTTCCATTTTTCTCCAACCCACAACAGTAAATATTGCACAAGTCAACAGACAAATTTGGATTGTATAGAAACAGCAACCTCTCCCACTGGTGCTCTGAGCACCAAGGAGAAAAAAACAGCACCCAAAGTTTGGCTTTTAGTGTCAGCCCTGTAAGAATACCAAGTAGTCTTACAGAATTTGGGGCATTCACTCTCCCATTCTGCCAAGGAATACCTGCCAATCAGTCAGCCATAATCCCAAGGAGAGCAGGAGAGATGGTTCCCTAAGCCCACCAGGGCACCAGGAGGTTCTGAGAGTCAATTCTCCTCCAGACACCCCTGGAATCCACGGGGCATATTGCACAGTGACTGAGAACTAACTAGAAAATAGCTCCATGACCCAATCAGATGGGAAAAGGAGAGGGGATTAGAGAGGAGTGTTGTGCTTTTGAAAAGAAGGCAGTAATAAAGGACCTGGAGTTCCCTATAGCTTTTGAGCCACCTTTCAAAGGGATAATGCAGCAGCATCGAGACTTTCATGTGGTTCCAAAAAGAAGAGTTTTGGCCAAAATCATCCCCAAGTGGATACTCTTTGGGTCCCAAAATTCCATTGCAAATCACTCCCAAATCATTTGCCACACATAACACGCAAAGCAGCACATAGCAAAGCAAAGGCTTTGTGCGGTTTCCTTCAGTTCTGAGGCCAATAATCTCCAACCCCTTCCTTACCCCACACCCTCAAAAAAAAAAAAAAAAAAAAAAAAAAAGAAAAGAAAAAACAGCTTTAGATTCCTGGCTGGGAAGCAACACCTACAGGCCCCTGAGGGTAGCATTAGAAACAAGTCATGATTTCAGGAAAAGCTGCTTAGGACAGAAGGAATTAGGAGAGGTCTTGTCACTCTCTGACCAGGATCTCATTAGAAAAATAAAAGAGAAGATTAGGTAACAAAAGTATTATTTAAGTCCAGGATTGAATGCCCCTGAGTAAGAGAGGAACCAGGGATGCCAGGTGTCCTAGGTGGGGAGAAAGAGAGGTTTGGACTCAGCCTCTCTTCTCCCCCCTGGGCAGAGCTGACCTCTCTCATTCACAGTTGCTAACCTAGCTTGCTCCCTCTCACATCTCTCTGGGGTGCCAGCCAAGCTTCTCACCTCACCTTGGCTAGGCCTAACCCCTCTCTGCTTCCCTCCCACCCACCATAGGCAGACACCAGCTCTCGGACTCAAGCCCACAACAGTTCTCTCCAAAGGCACCTGGGGAGGCCACCAAGCAGCTCCCTTTAAGGATTTTTTTCGTAAAAAAAAAATCTTTTGGTTTTTTTTTTTCTCCTCTTTTCTTAAAAAATAATAATAATATATATAAATAGCTCTTCATTTAAAAATAGTTCCCCAGGTTGAGGTATGTGGTGGTCTGTTGTCACGGCAGGATGAGTACAGTAGAGTGCCAGGGTGGGGGCAGCAGGAGCTCTAACTGGAGACTGCCATCACGTAGTTCTTTGAGGGGCTGCTCCGGCCCAGCAGCATTTGGTTCTTGCAGGTGAGGAGCCCATAGGAGGCAGCCACTGGGGCCTCCTCGTACAAGACACAGATGGAGCCATCCTCCCCAATGCGGTAGGACACCTCATAGGGGTCCACCCACAGGGTCAGCTCGCTGGGCAGCAGCCGGTGCAGCTGGGGCTGGCTGAGTCCGATCTGGCTGGCCACCTTGCTGATGATGGGATCCATCTTGTGGTTGATGCGGATGCAGCGGTAGCCAGACCCCTTGGATGGCTTTTCAGGAAACCAGTGGTGTTTGTAGTGCTCTGTGGAGACAGGACAAAGGGCAGATGTCCTGGTTAAAGCAGCTGGGCCATGGATACTACTACGACAAGGCACAGATGAGGGTGAAAGATTAGGAGGAGAATAAGGGGCCCAGTAATTTTAACTAAGGGAGGTGAAGTCTACTCAGATACAGGACCCTCCTGCCACTTAGCAGAGAAAATTTTAGGAGAGCTTGGGGAGACCCACCCCCCTACTTCCAGGAGAGGGGTGTGTGTGTACTGGCAGTAGTGGTCAGTGTACTGCTTTTGGCACATCCTGGTTATAAGGAGGGAAGGGTGTGACTGGGGCTGGCATGTCCAGGCAAGGCCTCTGGAGACCTGTGAGCTGACGTTTTAAAGCCATGAAGGCAGCCAACATTGCTAGGTCCACAGCAAGCCACTAGGCCTTCCACCCTGTGCCCAGTGCCCCCACTCTGCCTCTTTCAGAAGAGTCAGAGCTCCGGCTAACGGAGTAAAAACCGGATTGTTTTGATGAAACATCTGTTTTCCTCAGAAAGCAGGATCTGTGAGGGCACGTTCAGAGATGACTATCGCTTTCCAAGACCGCCAGCAACCAACTAGAAACGGCTGAGAGCCAGGGCTCTGCCCGGCCGGCTGGAGAGGTGCTTATCTCGTCACCCTCCCAGGCTCACGACCCATCCCCCACCCCGCCCCCCAACACACGCCCGCAGCGCACGGTTACCAGCCACCAGGCTGTCTTTCACATCACAATAGGTGGCAGATGGCTAAGGGGGACCAAAGAGAACACAAAGGGGGCCCAGATTCCAACTTGGAGAAAGTTAGCAACTGGCAGACTGCCCCAGGCTCAGCGCAGCCCCGAACGGCTGAAGAACCACCTTGGGACTCCCAAGTTGTGGCGAAGACTCAAGTGCGCCTTATTTCTCCGGAGGGACCTCTCGGCCCGCAAAGCTTTGTCGCCCACAACATCCCTTGAGGGTCTCAAGATCCCAAGGGTCCAACGAGGTAGAGGAGACCGCACTCAGATCAGGAGGTGGCCGCTCTTGCGGGACATAGCCGGGGACTCGAAATGGCACTCCAGGACAAGGGGTTGCGCCCTCCGGAAAGTGGAGGGACGCTCCCAACAAGAACCTCCAAGGCCCAAGACAAGAGTGCAAGGCCGGGGAGAGGAGACGTGATCTGCGTGCCGCCCTGGGGATCGGAGGAGGCAATCGAGTCCCGAGGCAGCTTGCGTGGGCGACTCTGCCCCAAAGTAGAGAAAAGACGGTCCTGGCGGAGTGGGGGGCGGAGGTGGGAACTAAACCTCCGTGGTGCCAGGTCCCTTGGCCTGTGCTCACCTGTTAGTGCCTCCTGGAGCGCCCCGCTGAAAACCTTAAGTCTCTGCTCGCTCACACAGCCCCGAGTTCTCAGTAGGCTAGAAAGGAAGCCCACGGCAGCGGCGATCTCTGGGAGCATGTCTGTTCCCTTCGCGTGGTTCATGTCGTGGCTCAGGGAGCGGTGGCGGCGGGGAACAGAGACAGGTCTCTGGTGGGATGTGCAGCTCTGCAAGCCCTTTCCTGTCTGGCCGCCGCTCCGGCTCTGCCCGGACTTTCCCCCGGCAGCGCCTTTCATTCTTGGTTGAAGTGGGGGCGGAGAGCCAGCGGCGGCGCCCATTGGCCGTGGCCAGCGGATGGGGGCCGGCCAGCTCCGCCCCTCCCCGCCCAGCGCGTCGGTGCTCCGACCTCCCCCTCTCCCTCCCGTGCGGGTCCGGGTTGAAGCCGCAGCCACCGCCTCCTGGGCGCTGAGGTCATCGCACGCTGACGTCAGTGATGGGAACCTGCGCCCCGCTTCAGAGCCGAGCGAGGCGGGCAGAGAACTTTGGGCGGAGGTCCGGGCCGGAGAGTGCTCTATACTGGGCAGGCCCCTTTGCCTCTCTCCCCATCCTTCGAGGTTAAAGGTCACCTCCTCCGAGAAGCCTTGCCGGTATCGCCTATCCTAACCGGTCCCCTTTTTCTAACTCCCACTGCATTTTTCAGCCACACACTGTCAGAACTACTCACCAGGACGCTCTGTCACCATTTTACCTCTTTGTCATGATTCTTAACTAGTCAGAATGAGTTTCTCTTGGCTGTTTGGAAATGGGGGCTAAGTCTCCTATTTATTTCCATAATAATAATCCCACCTCCCCCAATCACTTAATGCTCTTCCTATAGCAATGCCTTTCTTTTCCCTTGCTTAGAAATACTCGTCTCACCTATTTGGTGGGGGAAGAGTGTTATAGGAATACTCTGTCCCCCTGAAGTTATTTTTCTAGTCCTCCTTTTCCTTTAAGTGCCAACTTTTTTGAATTAGTGGTCTGCTCTCAACTGTACATATTTTTCCATTCACTCCCTCCCTCCCCCAGTCCTATTCCCTCCTTCAAGGTGGGTGGAAGCTTCTGTAAATACAGGCTCCTCAGGGGGGGAAGTCCAGCCTCAGTCTCCCCTTTCTACACTTAGGACCTAGCACCATCACAGGCACTTGGTAGATGACTTGGTAGCACAGGGTCTGGCACATACAGAGGCCCTGTGTTAGTTGAATGACTCAAACCAATGGTCTGTGTAAATTCCTATTTTCCTTGAAATCTGGGCCCCCATGACCACCTTCTGGAAGAAGTCTCTCTGTCCTCCTTGACACTCTGCCCCAGGTTTCTCTGCCTTCTCTCCTGACTATGCCAGCCATGAATACCTTCCTGTCCCCCCCAGAAAACACACACACCCTTCGCTCCCCACACTATGTCCCCTCACCCCTCTTCCATCTTTGCACTTCCTTTCTCAGATTCTTTCATGTAGTCCATTCTGAAGGTTTCCTTTTTACAATGGGCCTCTCATCTGCATAGTCTGTCCTGGCGTCCTCCCATCCTGCTCCTCTTCTCAGCTGCTCTGTCCCTTCCCTTGGATGTCCAGCCACTGCCTCAATGTCAGCCTAAACCCATTGTCTTTTCCAAAGCCAGCTCCCTTGATCTTCATTTCTGTCAGAGATACCATCATTGTCCCAGACACTCCACCCAGAAAACTCAGTACTTTGCTCCTGAGATACAGTCCCCAAACCTGTTGCTTTGTATCTATAGAGTTGAAATGGACTCTGTCAATCCCATGACCAAACCACCCACCCTTCCCACTGCTAGTGGAGTTGCCTTCCTAAAGAACTACACTCACTTGCTCTCCTCTTTCTCAGGTCATTGTGAAACCTTCACTTCCCTATTTGGCTAGAAGTTTTAGATTAAGTCTAGAATTTTTGCCTAACAGTTAAGACCTTTATAATTAGCCCCACCTCATTTCTTAGGTTTCAGACTCTTCGCACTCCAGGGTCACTCTCCTCACTGTCCTCTAAGTATTGCAGCAGCCCCACAGCCCATATATCTCAACATTTTGCCCATGATCCCCATCTCTGCCCTGGAACATGGGCCCTTTTCATGCATGTCTATGGCGTATGTCCTTATTTCCTGGACAGCTCACTACCTCCTTCCCACTTCTCTCAAATCTCTCACACTTCTGAAGGCACAGCTTAAGCTTGGTCTTCCATCTTGGAAACCTATGCCAACCATTCTCCCAATGCTAAATTAACATCATCTATACCATTCACTGGCATTTTTTTTTTTTTGAGATAGTGTCTCACTATGTTACCCCTCGTTAGAGTGCCATGGCGTCATAGTTCACAGCAACCTCAAATTCCTGGGCTTAAGCGATTCTCTTACCTCAGCCTCCCAAGTAGCTGGGACTACAGGCATCTACCACAATGCCCAGCTATTTTATTTCTTTTTTGTAGTTGTCATTATTGTTTAGCAAGCCTGTGCAGGATTCAAACCTGCCAGCCCCAGTGTATGTGGCCAGTGCCCTAACCACTTAGCTATGGGCACTGAGCCATTCACTGGCATTTATAATCTATTTGGTATCGTTAGGAATCATTTTAGAGACAGACATCTCAGCAGTTTGCAGTTTATTTGAAAACTGGTCATATGTCCCATATTTCTAGGACAACTCAGATTTCAAATAGTCTGCTTTACTATTTCATATAACTAATCAAAATGCCCTGGAATTCTGATATTTTGGCATTAAACACATCTCTTCTATGACCCCCTTCACTGGTTCCTTCCCTTTACCGGATCAGACCAGATGAGACTATTCTCATTAACAAGACAAATTTTTTGTTACAGGAAACAAGGTTGACCCTGGAATGAAGATAAACCCAGAAATGCATCAAACCAAAGAGATCAGGTGTCAGTAAGTCCGGAATTGACCAAGATCAACCACCAAGGAAGTCAGAGAAATAGGTCAGGTATAAGATAGCTGTGCAGGGTCATTTAGCACCTAAATCTGAAAACATTTTCCATCCTCCTGGGTGTGTCTTTGGCAGGGCTATGGTGTTACGAGCCTTACATCCCCTATAATCAGAATTAATGAAAAAAATTTTTGACAGACCATGTCTGTTTTTTTGGCTTAAAGGTCTGTCCTTACATAGTTTTTATATCACTCACCAGACCACAGAATGAGTTCTCAGTAGAGCCAGGATTGAAACCAAATTTATAGACTTCAAGTATGATGCTCTTTTCATTAGACTGTGGGGCCCCTAGGCTGCTGGTCCACAGTCCCACCAAGCTGTCATTAGAGATGACAATGCACTGAATGGACAGGAGCAGGGAGGCTGTAAGCCCTTGTCTCCTCCGTTGCCCAGGGTGTGTCTTCGCTTCTGCACTGGTGATTAGTTTGTGAACTTCGTTTAGCACAGAGATGATCCACAGAACCAGAAGCAGTTCCCCTGCTTTCTCATCCCTGTTTCTTTGTATATACAACACCGAGGATAGGAAGCTTAATTTATCCCACATTCAAAGTTCCCAAGTCAATATATAGTATAATTGTATCCAGCTCAGGATTTAGGTTCTCAAATCAATTTCTTTTTTTTTTTGTTTTGTTTTTGAGACAGAATCTCACTTTGTTGCCTTCAATAGAGTGCTATGGCATCATAGCTCACAGCAACCTCAAACTGTTGGGCTCAAGCGATCCTCTTGCCTCAGACTCCCAGGTATCTGGGACTGCAGGCACCCAGTACAATGCCCGGCTAGTTTTTCTATTTGTAGAGACAAGATCTCACTCTTGCTTAGGCTGGTCCCAAACTCCTGAGCTCAGGCAATCCACCTGCCTCTGCCTCCCAGGATGCTAGGATTACAGGTGTGAGCCACTGCAACCAGCCTCAAATCAATTTCTTTTTTTTTTTTTTTTTTTGCAGTTTTTGGCCGGGGCTGGGTTTGAACCCGCCACCTCTGGCATATGGGACCAGCGCCCTACTCCTTTGAGCCACAGGCGCCGCCTCAAATCAATTTCTTAAAGCCAAATACATTACAGCAGTCTCAATTATTTTGGTATTTCCTGAAACTGCCCTTAAAGTGCCAGGACCAGAATCCTTAAAAACTCAAAAGTCAAGATTTCACTCCTACTTTTTCCCTTTGTATATTGCTCTTTGCACACGTTGTCCCCCCACTTTTGGTATAAACAAAGTGTAGTTTGAACATCAGGGTAAGGCGAGAAGGGCCCTCTCAACCTCTTTTCCTGCTTCTCCTCCTCCTCTTCCCACTCCTCTTTCTCTTTTCTCCTCATTCTTCTCCTCACTTCATCCCCACCCCAAGGGCCTTGAGTTTAGTTTTAAACTTTTTTTTGAGACAGAGTCTCACTATGTCTCCCTTGGTAGAGTGCCATGGCATCATAGCTCACAGCAACCTCAAACTCTTGGGCTTAAGTGATTCTCTTGCCTCAGTCTCCCGCATAGCCGAGAGCCACCCACACCTGGCCATTTTTGGGTTGCAGTTGTCATTGTTGTTTGGCAGCCCGGGCTGGATTTGAACCCACCAGCTCTGGTATATGTGACTGGTGTCCTAGCTGCTGAGCTACGGGCACCAAGCTGATTTTTAAACTTTAAATGCTGATTCACGTTGCTGACCTGGGACTCCTCCTGCTGAAGAGGGGGCATTGTGGTGGTGAGAATGAGGATGGGCTTCAGTTTAAGCCTCATCTGGGCCAGGGAATTCTGTGCTGTGTATCCACAGACCCACTGGCTCTTCTCTCCCTGGTTGCCCATCTCACCCACTTCCATGGCCTACCGTCACCTCTAGAGTGACCCACAGGCATTCCAAGCTGCTCTCCTCAGAACAAATTCCCACCCCGAAGTGGGCCTTTCTCCTCAGGCCTCTGTGCTTTTCCTGTCTGTGGGGTTAGCCACAGGCGTTGCTCTCCACTTTCCAATCAGGAACAATGAGGCCATTGCACCCGATTTCTATCTTTCCCAGTGCCCTGTTGGGCCTGAGGGAACTTGGCTTGATTGCCTCTCAAATTTCTGACCACAAGTAGAAACTTGAGGTTGAGTGAAGCTGATTTGCAGGCAGAGGCTGGGTTCAGATATTCTGGGAGGATAATATCATCTCATCCTACGCTATGCAGTGTGTATTTTCTGTTGTGTAAATGTGTAGGGAGGGCAGTATGTATATTTGAGAGAGCATATGTACTTAAATATGTGTGTGCGCTCTGATGTTTGTGGACAGGAGGGAATACACATATGTGTCAGCAGATGTCAATAAGCACTTACGATGTTATCT